GTATCCCCTTAGTAGGGCCTAATAGAAATATGAGTGGCCTATGATCCGTTACCAGTGTGAACTTGCGACCGTACAGAAAATTGTGGAACTTGCGTATGGCAAATATCAAGGCTAGTGCTTCCTTTTCAACCTGGCTATATTTGATCTCACATTTTGATAAGGTGCGGCTCGCAAAAGCAATCGGACGCTCGGAACCATCTGGTAAGATGTGAGCAATTACGCCACCTATTCCAAAACTAGAGCTGTCACAAGTAACGATTATTTCAAGGTTAGGATCAAAAGGTATTAGAACATTGTCTTTACACAGTAGTTCCTTACTAGTTCTGAATGCTCGTTCACATTCGTCACACCACGTCCATTTGACGTCATTATTTAGCAGCCTATACAAGGGATGTAATATTGTAGATAAGTTAGGTAGAAACTTGCCATAGTAGTTGAGAAGTCCAAGATAAGAACGCAGTTGACTTATATTCTCTGGTCGAGGAGCGTTTACGATAGCTTCAGTGAGAACCTCACTTTGATGAATTCCTCTTGCATCTAGGCGGTGCCCTAAGAAAATCAGAGACTCCTGAAAGAACTCACTCTTGGCATTGTTTACCTTGATTCCATGATCACATAATCGTTGAAGAACAGCATCCACTCGTCCTAACATTTCATCAGTAGATTTTGCTACAATTAAGATATCGTCTAAGTAACAAAAAGTGTTTTCGAGTCCGTTTAAAATCTTATCCATTGCTGACTGGAATAGTGCACCTGCACTAGTAATGCCATAAGGCAGCCTGGCAAACCTAAAAAGACCTTTGTGGGTGGTTATGGTTAGCAGTTCCTGTGAGGATTTGTTAACCTTAAGTTGGTTGTACGCTGCAGAAAGATCAAGCTTTGTAAACAGTTTGGCTCCTGAAATTTGTGAAAAAATGTCATCAGGAGTGGGGAGCGGATAGTAATCCGTTCTTAAGCATGGATTTATTGTCACCTTAAAATCCCCACAAATTCTTACCCTTTTATCAGGTTTGACAACTGTAACAATTGGTGTTGACCATTGCGACTTCGTCACAGGATAGATGATACCGTTACTCTGTAAGTTGTTAAGCTCGTTCTCAACGGCTTCACGTAATGCGAAAGGTACATTCCTTGTCTTACAAAAAACAGGTTTGGAGTTTTCTTTTAATACCAAATCAACAGAAATACCCTTAATTTCACCTATTGTTTGCTCAAAAACTGGTGAATACCTCTTTTTCAAAGTCGAAATTAACTCAGGAATAGGAACAGTCTTACCTTGCGTAAGACGAAGAGCTGCGACGTTTTGTTCTCCGTCCGAGCCATTTGGTTTCATACAGTCCCAGTCCAACTGTATTTTCTCAATCCAGTTCCTTCCCAATAGCGGAGGTTGATGTGAGCCGTTGCTCTCGATGACTACTACTGGCAGGCGCTGACTGCTTCGGCCCGTGGACACGTTGGCCTGGAACTCGCCCAAGATTCGAATTCTCTCTCCAGTATAGGTCTTTAGTTTAACATTACAACTCTCTAAGGTAGGCATTGATTGATTAAACTTTTCAAAATAGACATCTTCAGGCATTACTGTGACTACTGCGCCTGTGTCAATTACCATTTCAACTGGCACATCGTTTATCATAACTTCAGTTACAAAACCACTTTGCTTCTTTGCACTAGAATTAGCATAGGCTATAGTGTATAGCTCCAAGTCGTGGTCAAAATTGTGGCTAACGGGAGGTTCGTCCTCGCTCCCATCACTACCGTCAACATCACACATGTTTAACCTATCACCTTTAGGCCTAAACTTATTTTTATTTTTGCTGCACTTGTTTGATAAATGCCCCTTTCTTTTGCAGTAGAAGCATGTGTACTCTACGTAAGGACAAGCATTAGGATCGTGGGGCTTTCCGCAACGGAAACAAGAAAATTTTCCTAGTTGTGGTTCCCTAGGTCTAAAGTTTTGAGGTTTTGATGATTTCTCAGCAGAACTATGACTCGGGTTAAATCTCCTATTAACGTAACCTATATCCCCAGAAGAAATTTGTTTTTCAGGATGTAGGGATTTGACGTTTCTGTCAGCGTTCTCTATCACAAGTGCCATCTCAAGGGCCTTAGAAAAGGTTAATGTGTCCCCTTCTGCTAATAATTTACTTTGTATATGAGAAGACTTAAGCCCACACAAGAATTTGTCCCTAAGGGCTTCATCCAAAAAATTCCCAAAACTACATGTAGATGCTAGCTTCTTTAGCTGAACTGAGTAATCAGTGATTGATTCACCATCTTTTTGACCCCTTTTGTTAAAAATAAACCTTTCATAGGTAGTATTACAGGTAGGTGTATAGTGTTTCTTAAGCACAGAGATAACCTCTGCAAACTCAACTTCATTTACTTTTTTAGGGTGCAAAAGATCCTTAAGTTTTGTATATAACATCGGTCCCATAATAGAGACAAAAAATGAGAGTTTACTTTCATCCTTGATTGTGTTTATCTTAAAGAAATGTTCTAACCTTTCTACGTAGTTTTCAAACGATTCCAACTCTTCATTAAATTCACTGATCTTTCCCACAATTTGTTTTGAAGACATATTTCAGGATAAATAAAATTCAATTTCACTTTTGGAAGTACACGGATGCACATATCTTGAATAAAAACGTGACTAAATACTTTTCGTAGTCAAACATAACCTGGTTTCAACGATCAGCATCAATTAATTGCACAGCAGACAGCAGCACTGCAATTGCAGTTTTCAACAAGAAGAAATAACAGAAGTAACAGGTATTTGTAACCGGTCAACTTTAGTAGCAGTGTAAAATAAAACTAGTTCCCAAGCAACTGTGATTGCAAGTCACTGTTATAGTTGGAGTCACCGTTACTACTTCACAGTTCCAGTAACCGTTTCGGCAACTTTTCAAAATGGCGTACACTGAGCAAAAACTTGTCGGCAAAATTGACAAAGTTACAACCCGAAGTTAGAGTTATTCTAACGGTAAAAACACGCACTGGATCGATAAAAAGGCCTCGTCGCCACTGTTATAAACCGATAAACGTATATTTAGATACTATTAGGACTCTTAATAGAAAACACGACACTGAAATAATTACACTGATCTGAACAGACGTTCACTGACCTGGATCTCATTGTAGACTGCTCGTTTCGCCTTTGTCCTTAGCGGTAGTGGTGGGGTTAGCTTCTTATCTCTAAGCAAACACAGACTTGTCTAGAATAGCAAACTTCGACTTGTCTAACTTAACTTGTCTCTTCTTGGTCCAAATAAAATACTCCTTACTTTAATATTAATAAAATAAAACATCTTCCTTATAACAATATTATTCTGCTTATAAAGGTTGGATAATGATAGTATAAAACAAAATATAAATACAAGCATATGTTAGCCTAGAACATTACTTTTGTCAGCATAATGAATGTGCTTTCGATAAAAGTTGTATATTATACTTTCACCGATTGAAAATTAAATTTTCGAAGGGATGTCTGTGTATAGAGCTGCTTTTGGTGAAATTTGGTGTGGTGTGTACTAATAAGTCTAGAAGTTATTTTTTTTATTTTTTGAAATCTTGATTTTAACGGTGGTTTTCTCATAAAAACCCATAAAATAATGGAAACATCTCATTTGCTCAAAAATGGCCTTAACGATTTACAACTAAATTTACTATATATTTGTCCTTTTGTCTTTAAACAAGATAGTACAACCCCCATTGGTATAAAAAATATGGTTCAAAATTTACGGCAACTTTTGTGATTCTCCCCACATAAATTAAATAACAGAAAAATCAAATAAAAAATTTACAATTTTTGATTGAAATTGAGTTTGTTAGTCCTTTTAACTCCAAACAAAACAGTACAACCCCTATTGCTGTAAAAATTTCCGTTATAAATAAAGTTATTACAACTTTTGTGATTTTCCTCTTAAATTATCAAAGTTACTCTCACCCATGTGCCATGATAAGGGTTGTTGACAAGCTAATGGGAGAAAGAGATAGTACGTGTCAGATTGCTATTGCTGATACTGTTTGTTTATACTACCTCAGTTTTTTACGTTAAATCCAAAAATGCAGTAAATTTTTGTCATAGAGTTATGTTCTAAGTGTTTGAAAAACTAAATCGAAGATTACAAATTTAAGGTCCATTGAGCAGTTAATATGGTAATTTGGGTAAGTCCAAGTTTTTGCGCCAACTTACACTTAAGGGAGGAAGGTATGTGGAGAGCAAAAAACTGTAAGTAGACACATAAAAATTAATTTTGTAATCGGTGAAAGTATATTTAACATTTGCCGTGCTTTCAAATATTTATTAACATTTTCAACTATAAAAACATTACACTAAAGGAACCAAAAATTTCCAAAACTTTTTTAATGCCTAAAGTGTAGGCAAGGAATAAAGCAGAACAATTATAACAAACAAAAAATGTGTAACAATAAGCTATAAAACACAGCTAACAATCCTAAAAAAAAATATATAATCATAAATGTAAGCTACGCAATTACAAAATTAGTTTGTATAATTAGTTACTTCTTTAGTCGGATCATCTTTGATCTTTCTAAAGCTACTGTACCGTATAATTTTTTTAGGTCGCTATTTGAAAGATCAATCTAGGATAAGACCGAGCTGTTTTTGGTTGGATAACTGTGTTTGAGCCCTACTCCTTCAAACAATATTTGAAGTTTAAGATTCGCCTGTCGGTTAGTCAAGTGAAGACACTTCAGATTTTTCTTGAATAGGAAGTTCTGAAATATTTAAAAAGTTTTTTTTGTGTAATAAGTTAGTGCAACTTATGCCAGAATAAATTATTTTGAATAAATTTCACTATGCCAGGGCAATGTAAGTGGAATCGAAAACACCATAAAATTGGTGAGAAGATTTTACAGTATTGGTAATAGACAGTAGACACTATTTGATATGCCTGTCATCAAATTGGTCAAACAAAAAGTATAAGTATTTATTATAGTAAAAGGCAACAAAACTTAACAATTCAAATTTTAAACTTAAATATAGTAACAAAAATTTTAATTATGATTATAACTAAATAATAATATAACTAGGGTAATTCTACAAAGACATACAACATGGTTGAGAAACACATACTACTTCCAAAAAGGAAGAATAGATTTATTCCAAAGTGTATGTTTTTTAACAGGAACATTGTTTTGGCTGTATAGAAAGGGTAAAATAAAATAAAAATATCTTAAAAAATAAACAACAAACAATATTATCAGATAATAATCACACTAACAACACAAATCAAATCATTCAAGATAAGGACATAACTAATTAATACCACATAAGGTATCAATAAGCTTTTTACTAGACAACAACATTGACTGTTTCTAACAAAATGTGATGCCTTGCTTAGCTTTTCAACCGAATATTTATGAGCTCTTGCTTTAGCCAGGATTTTAAGAAAAAGTCCAATTGTTAAAGAAAGCTGGGTCAGTTTTCTAGTTTCAAACCACACAAAAAGCTACTAACTTTTCTCAATATCAAATTGAAATTATACATTATTAGGAGGGTTGTATAAACATTCAACCAACAGCTTACATTGTAAACTAGGTATGCGTGAAACAGAGATAAAGAAGTAGATGTTAACTAATACAAAAAAATTAAGAACCTAACATAAAATCTAAGGAAAATATATAATTAGACAGTCACAATATATCGTTATTAATGTAAAAAAAAAAACTCAGGAACAAAAAATTCAGCCTTTTAAAAAGGTATGCAACAGAAATCCATAGTGAAATGTGAAGCCTTAGTTTACAGGTGGTTCACAGATTTAGAGACGAGAAGTTGTGCTTTGTGGCCTTCAATGGCCTCGTACAGTTTGGGAAGTTCGGCCTCCAGTCGGATGAGGCGAACTCGGGACTGAAGCCGCCAAGTGCCAGGTTTGTCGTCTCCCACGTAAGTTACCAAATAGGAGATCAATTCTTGTGATCCGTCTTCGTCCAGATCTACTATAAGCACTGAAAAACCAAGAGTGGTTTAGTCATTCAGTCGACCAACATAGGTTGGCAAAGTCACTTCAAAAGGCATCCCTAGATGACCCTTAGTACCGTGCACCTAAAGATAATGATAGTACAGTACTTACACATGCACAACCTGCTAGGGCCATCAGCAACTATAGTTGCAAAATCCTTTTTTTGTTAATGATCTTGTTAGTAGTTGTCTAAATCATTGCTAGATGACATAGGAATCTACGACTGTTTGTGGGCAGTGCAAACTGTGCAAAAGTGTTGTAGAGCCAATTAGGTAGAATCAAATGCCAAATTTACTTTTTCCTGTACCATAGGTGTGTACTGATTTTCGGACCTATAAATGAAGAAGGTATGTGGCGAATAAGAAAAAACCGAGAGCTCCGAGAACTGTACAAAGAACCGGACATTGTAGCCATAGTGAAGAGTAGACGACTGAGATGGGCAGGCCATGTAGAAAGAAGGGAAGAAGAAAGTATGCTTAAGAAGAGAAGATCGCCAATGGACAACCACGAGGCACTCGCCCACTAGGAAGACCGAAGTTGAGATGGAGAGACCAAGTCCAGAAAGACCTACACAGAGTGGGGGCATCTCTTGACATGGCAGCAGACCGGCAGCAGTGGAGGCAACTTGTTGGCGAGGCCAAAAACTTTCTTAGGTTTGAGTGGCCAAGGAGCTAAGGTGAGGTAAGTAATAGGTGTGTACTGTGTACTCATACGGCCAGCTTTTGTTTGCTGCACTGCTACGATTGTGGCTTAAGATTGTTAACAATTTTATTTTCAAACGTTAATAAAGAAAATAGGCGTTCATGGTAAAAAAAATTATATGTATAAAATCTTTTTTTGGACTTTTGGCAAAGAGCCTTAAACAAAGTCTGAAAATGGTTAGTTACTTTTTTCAAAAAAGTATGTAAGTAAAATACCGCGATGTATTTAAGAACATTTGGCCCTGAAGATGATTGGAAATTCCAATGCTGTTAAAGGAAATAATCCCTGAAAGAACAAGAGCTTTAATGTTCCACAGCTAAACCTTGGAGTAGTGAAATACAAGGTGCGGCAAAAAAACTATCTATTTTCTTCAGCGCACTGTTCAGCAACAGGCGGTCTGAGGGTGGTGGGAGTAGGCTTGTTGGATAGCCTATACGATGCCATTTCTTGCAATCATAGAGCAGTGGTTGTATGAGCTACGTGCGGTTGTTATCTTCATTTAAAAAAAGTAGTAAATCAGTCATTGCAATTCAGTGGCAGTTCCGTGCTTTTATTAATTAGGTCGACATGGAGAGGTTCCGTCGTGATTATCTGTATGGATAACACAATTAAACAAATTATTAGTCTAATTAATTTGTAGGGATGAAAATTAACCTCAAAATTCGTGTAACTGAGCAGTCAGACATGTTCAAAGCAGCCACTTGTTTTCGGGCGGGCCTACGTGGACAGCAGCACGAACTCTATCGAATGTTAGTTGTCTGGCGTCCGATCTGACTTTGGACGGCCTTTCAGCCTCCTTTTCAACGCAGAAGACGTTGTTCTAAAGTTAGTAACCCACCACATTATTGTGATACGCAACAGAACTTCTCCATGTCGCCTTAATTGAAAGAATGCATGAAACTGCCAATGCCGCTGAGTTGCAATGAATGAATTCAATACTTTTTAAAAACAACTTCAAAACAACCGCACGTAGCTCAGGCGACCACTGCTCTATGACTACATAAATTGGCATTGTAAGGCTTTCCAATGAGTCTACTCCCACTACTCTCAGATGACCTGTCGCTGAACAGTGCTCTGCAGAAAATGGATCAGTTTTTTTTGCCGCAACCTGTATAAACCAATTTTCAAGTCTAGGTTGGGTACCCAAAGACCCCTTCTTTTTACCACTTTGATGTATATTCATTGCCTTGTTACTTGTTAGTGTAAATACTATATTTATATTAATATAGTTTCCCTTAAAATCTACAAATGAAACAACAACACCGTTTGACTGGCGTTGACGATGTGGACACTACCAGTAGCATTGAATAGTACCAATAACACTTAACATGCTAGTACTGTCACTTACGTGAGTCCATCTGATCCACCAACTGTGGCTGACATGTGCTGTTTGAGCACAGTTGTATGATCTCTGTTTGACTGGCGTTGACGATGTGGACACTACCAGTAGCATTGAATGGTACCAATAACACTTAACATGCTAGTACTGTCACTTACGTGAGTCCATCTGATCCACCAACTGTGGCTGACATGTGCTGTTTGAGCACAGTTGTATGATCTCTGTTTGACTGGCGTTGACGATGTGGACACTACCAGTAGCATTGAAGGTCACCAACACCACCCTCTCACTTATAGTGTTCACCAGGTAACCGTTCTTGTCTTTTCTCTGAGGAAAATAATGGCATAAGTAAATTAAGATCATAACAGAAACAGACTAAAATATATTTTACAGCAATTTTGATTAATCTATTTGGGTTTCTTCAAAGAATAACAAATTGTTAACTGGTTATTTGAGTGTTTTTAGTGATTGTTTAGCTAGTCACTGGTTTGATCCTGAGAAAGGTCAGTAGCTTTTTGATGGCTCAAATCATAACTAACTAACTTGCGAATTTCCCTATATTTCCCTATAGGGAAGTAGCTATTACCGTAGGTGGCACGGTAATAGCTACTTTTCTCATTTTTGACCCTCAAAACATAAAATTTCCCAATTTCTTTCTAAACTTTCTTAAAGAGTTTAAAAAAAAAAAAACAATTGAGTATATAAAAGTGTTTTTGTACTTTTCCGCACGAGGTGTTCATCTTTCTATTTTAGGTGGGCTTCTTCCACGAAGCTCTGCCATAAGGGTAACGCCTCTTTCACACGACGCGGCGCGCGCCGTGCGGCGCCCGCCGGATCCGGCGTAGGGCTATGGGAGTATATGAGTCCTTTCACACTATGTGCGGCGCGCGCCGCGCGGCGAATTCGCCGCACGGCGCGCGAGTTACCGCCGGATGCACCTTGAGCCGGACGACAGCGCCGCGCGGCGTCCACGCCGGACAACTCGGTGAAGGTGCATTGGTTCTTATGGGAGCTTTCACACGGTGCGGCGCGCGCCGCATGGCCCAACCCCTACGCTGTCTCAATTTAGGCAAACTACCTGACCAAGAGGGTGCAACAGTTAATTAAGAAATTATATACCGTTGTATCGGAAAATAATATATTTAAAGTTATTACAAAACATACATTTTTATGTTAATCCCATGCAAATCGACCAACTTAAAGTATTAAAACAAAAATTTTCCTTTAATAACTAGAGGAGAATATTTTGTATTAAATTAATAATTTAGTAATTTATACGTAATGAAACATTTTTTTTAACTTCTAGAATACAATATTTTCAGATATGACGAATAGACTACTTATATATAATACGTGAAGGTGATTTCTACGAAATACTACTCCTCCGTTAATAATGAACCGATTTTTACAAACGATGTGTCAAAATTGAGTATTTGTTGTGTACACGCCCCCTTTCACCAATTCCTGTAGTAAAAGTCCTCGGGCTTTGCCCCTCAGGCCATCAAAATCCCAATGTATATCTTATGAAGACAAGATTTTGTTTAGTTAAACATGGTTAAACGGACGAATAATTTGTATTAATTACAGCTGTTCATAGTACACACATGATACACCCAAGAGTTTTCGTTTTCAGTTTCGATAGATGGAGTGGAGTGAGCGTTCGTTTTCAGAGTGAGTTCGTTTCCAGTTTCGATAACTGGAGTGGAGTGATTGGTTACATTATCTTTGAGCTGACTCTCACACGTCAACGGAAATAGTGACAGTTATTCGTAAAAAAAACTCCTTTAATATTTTGCAATTGCTCAAATTCGAGCAACAGGTGCACTAGTTTATTATATTTAAAATTATCCTATTCATTTAATTTGAACTTTTAAGTGGAGTATTCATTTAAAAGCCACAACTGAACAGAAAATAATAAATATTTAGGAGTGCCGTACGGCGCGCGCCGCACGAAACCGTACTAGTGTGAAGACACACGCTTGTCCGGCGCAGCGCCGCGCGGCGAACGCCGTACGGCGCGCGCCGCTTCGTGTGAAAGAGGCGTAACTCCCATGAATTACAATAGATAGTTGTAATTGGAAGTTTGGTTGTATGTTTAACGTGTGTTGATATTTTTTAAAGTATTAAAGCATTATTAATTTTTTATATAACAAATCGGATTTAAATTTGTTAAATTGAACTTAAAACTTAAAGGGTAAAATAACAGTAATAATTTGTAAGCTATCGAAATGCTCACCTGTTCAGTGGGATTGTGCCAGTACCAGAACTTTAGCAGGAACCCAGAGATGGCATGTTGTAGATGCAATACCACTGGAGTCATGGCGTATGTCTGCTGCAATGTGGGGTTCCATACACTCTGGTTGTGATGGTCTACTACTGAGATGACCACCTATAAACATCGGTAACAGTTTTCTTTTAAGATCTCATCTATTAAAAGCATCACTGTTATTTAACTCTCAACGCGAATACTCCATGTTTTAGATATACCACTATACGTGGCTCTGACATGGGGCTCCACGTTCCAAAGAATTACCTGAATAGATTTACTAATACATTGAAACCTTCCTGTAAAGAGTCTTGATGTAACTATCAACTTGATAAAGCGTCAAAATTCTTCTTAGTTCCCTTAAAAACGCCATAATGCTCAATGTAATATTTACTTCATGGTAAAAATGTCTAGGCATCTACTTAATAATTACTCAATCCCATTCAAAATATAGGCATTAGAAAATATTATCTAATGCCATTGAAATATGTTGAGCTGAGGTTCCAATTACACACTTTACTGAAATTAAAACATCTAGTATTTGATTTAACCTTTTTCTGACCTGATAGTCTGCAGGAGATGAGCCGGAGTTTTGAAGATTCAGTCTGTAGTTGTTCACCGTCCACTCATTGCCGAGATGCTTGGTGGGGGGTGAGACACTGCCACGGGGCTCCACTGTGTGGTTGGTCATAGCTTGAACAGCTGACACAAGCGCAATCTGGCCCACACTCATCGCTGTAGTCAGCAAACAAGTAGTTATAGTGATTTATGTCAATAAAGATGTTTGAATTGGGTGTAATTTGATTGAAGTGGTGAGTACTTAGCGGTAGAGCTGCTTTGTTTTAGGGAAATAGTAATAATAGCAAAATATTTCAAATATTCAAATATCCACTTGTGGTGTATGACCACAAAGGTTTAAGAACATTGTGACATATGTACCTTACGTTTTAAATATAGTTATCTGTTTAAATTATGGTTTTTCTATTTTTATACTAAACTTATAACTAAACTTATCTCAATAAAGTTTTGGAAGTATAATGTATGAGAACATGGGTTTAGCGAGATTAATCGAGCGAGGGTGTTTTTCCATTTTAAAGTCTATTTTATTATTGGATATTTCTGGAAAAATTTATTTTGAATTTGAATGATGGAAGACAGTGGCACTAGGCACAAGGAAGATGACTCATCGCCCGACAGGGCCATCGCGTGGTTTACTGGCGCCCCCCTCCAAACACACAATATGAGTGATGCTTGTTATACAAATTTGCGTGGCAGGTTGCGTTGCTATCTGCGTTTTAATGCCCAACCACAGACACCTAAACAAATTGAATTACCTTAAATAAATACTAGTCAGGTAAATTACTTAAATGTTTGATGAAAATCTTTTTTAATTGATGATAATCAAATCCATACAATTAATGTAAGAAAATATTAAAATCTATAAAAAGTACACTATGTATGTTATTGATTACTACAGAGCAAATTAAAATTATTGCAATGGTATGCAAAACCACAAACGAAACCTACTTTGAATCAGAATAAAGGAAAACCACATTATCACATTTAGATATAAGATCCTAAACAGTAAACGTAAATAACTCGTAATCACTCATTAAATTTAGCTGACAGCTGAGCTGAGACTGCCATAAGAGAAAGGAGTGATTGGGAGTCTCTTGTACCCAGTGTTTTAAACAGGGTAAATCAAGTCTTGAACTCAAGAAAAATAAAACATATTTAATACAGTACCTACTAACTCACTTTTTTGAGCTAACTCACTTTTTCCAGTGCTGTTATTGTTTTTTCTGCAGTTATAATAAAGTGTGTAGTCTCTGTCTAAGGTCAAATTGTTGATGTCAGTACAGCCTTTAACTTCCATAGGCTTTCCCAATACCGATCTGCAACGAGTTAACTAACTTTAGTTAACATTGACAAAACTCAACACCTGTTAGCTGTATTTTTTAAGCTTTAGGATTGTTCAGTATGGCCTTGTGTATTTCATCATTAGGGCCTAAAGTGACTCTTTTTGACAGAATCTCAAGTCAAAGATAAATACCAAGGCGACGCCAAGGTTGGGAATTGAGAAATGCTCATTAAATTTTTTTCTCATGTGATGAATAAAATTCTTTATCATACAGCACAATTCTATCATAAACCTATCAGAGAACCTATCATAAAAAATTATAAAGTGATAGGAGAGGCCAGGTGCAAGGCCACACTAAAAAAACACGCCGTAATGCTCGTCAAGCATGACGTCACGATAGAAGACGGCAATGACGTAGGTATTTATTTATTTTCCAAGAAAAGATTAAAACAAGCAGCTGATCACAAACGGCAAACATTACGTCATTGCCATCTTCTATCGTGACGTCATGCTTGACGAGCATTACGGCCTGTTTTTTTACGGCCAGGTGCCATCTGTTACAACAGATGAAACTCAATAACAAATAATTGTTCCTTTAAAACTGATAAATATTACCTAACAATTTGAAGCCAAGAAAAAAAAAATAGTTCAGGACCATCTCACCAGAGGCCAGAGGGTACTAATACTTAGTGTATTGGGTTAAATAAATATTAATTAAAATCAATGCAGTATCATAGGAAACAGTTGATAGATGATCAATTGACACAGAATATTGTCATTAGCAACAGATTGCACCACTTTTTTTGCTTCAATTTTTACATTACATTTGAAGCCAATTATGTGTATAGTCAATGATATTACCATCACATTAAACAATAGTCAATATGACTAATACAGTACCGTATATACTGTTATTTAGTTGCACAGTGAAATATGTATCTTAAAACAAAACCACTACAAATAGTGTAAATAAATTCATCTAAATCTTACAAAAAGAGTTACTCAGTAAAACAACAACTTTTAAACCGCAAAATAAAGCGAATACTTTGATTTTATTTTAACTAATTCAATGAAATGTTAACAATACATGTTTTTAAGAATTAAAAAATATACCTAACCAGCTATTGTCATGAATAATGTAGATTCAAATCTATTTATCTGATCAAATGTAAATAACTAACCACCAGTATTATAAAGCTGGATAGAAGAATGGATAAAGTGCTCGGTGAGAAATCAGGAGGTCAGCAAGTCAGATGTTCGATGCTGAGAAAAGTCAGTAGGTTTTGATGATTTAAACCCAGCTGTCTTTGATCATTGTGTTTCTAATAAATAGTCCTGGCCAATAAATCAGCTAATCTTGGACACTAACAAAGCTATCATCTCATCCTTTCAACACTGACACATCCTTTACCAGTCTTCGCCTTCAAATGCATTATCTTTTTTATTGTTGTTGTTTAAGTAATAGGCCTAACCTTATCTAACTCTAATCCATACAAACCCTGTCTGTCCGGAGATGATAGCGATGAACTGGCTGTTTTGCTTGTTTCTCGTCGTGACAGCCAAGTCGTGATATCCATCGTAGTTCAAGTCTGGCGTGACTACGGGGAATGACACATCCACCAATCGGAACTTATTCGCGCCTGCACGCCACTTAAAAATACCTTTAACACACAGACAAGTTTATGGAATGAATATTTCATGTAAAAGAAATGGAACGTAAATTCCAAAATAAAAAAGTTAAATTTGGAAATCGGTTTGTGGGCAAGAGCCCTTAAGGAGTTTTTGTTCATACCAATAATTTGTACACTCTCTGAACTTTATTTTGATGTGCCATATGACTATCAACCTTGTCATACCATTTACATATCAATTTACATGGATACCCTTATCCCTTAACATTGACTAATTAACAAACAAAAGTTAACAAAGACTTTGTCTTAGTCTCTAAGATAGGCCTAACCCTCAAACCCTGTTTTAAATTATGAAAATTTAGATCTCAATATTTTTAGTCATTAGTTTCTTCATGCATTGTCAGTTGTCAGTCATGCATTGTCTATAGATTGATTTTTGTTACTTACTACAATAAGGGTTTTCTCTGGTTTTCTGCTTTTCAGCATCTTTTTTTCAGTTGTCTTACTTAACCGATTTTCGTGAACGATATGCAGATGTCATACTAAATATGACAGTCATCATAAATATGACTTATGATCCAGCACACTTGAAATAGGTTGTTGATGATTAATCTGATGGAGGTAGGTAAATCAATCCTACGTAGTCATTGAATAGTCATTTATTCAGTCTTTAAACAATACATTATTGTAATAGACATCGTCATTATTATTGTAAAAAGATATAAGATGCAATACTTATAATTAATAAAATTTGACATCAAAATTCCAAAATATAGGCTGCCCTTAGTTTAACATTTAACAGGTTTAAAATAATTTTTTTTTTAAATAGGCAAACTTACTGTAACAAACTTAAATTATGAATAATAGTGAATAATAGTGGGTCTTTCTTCTTAGGATCCTACCTAGGTATGGGCCTTTAAACGGTATATAGATCTAGAGCTTTGAAAAGCAAAAGGGTATTGCATTATTAAAAATAATATAAAAATACATTGGAATTAGGTTTTGAGCCCTATTGAAATGTTAACGCATGGGTCCCCTCATTAGAAACATAACTTTATATTACAAATAGTTTACCAGAAAGTGCGTCGACCGCAGCCAAATAGCCTCTGGACCCTCGGACTAAGCAATCCTGCAGAGAGTTGTCATTGATCTTGAGGGACAGGCAATCCAGGTGGGTTGGTGAAGGAGCTCCGAAGAACCAAGCTATTATTCCCGTCGTTCCCATAAAAGATATCAGACCTAGATGATAGTGATGGTTAGAATTACGTACAAATGTCAAGGTAGTAAGCTACCTTAGAAAAATTGCAAACTGTTAGAATTATACTTGGAAAGTTGGTACTGTAATTCAATCCCAAACGGGATATTTTCTGAACCTACATGCCAGTTAGTTGTCACTATATAGGCTAATTAATGGCATTCTCTAAACACAAATCGACATTAAATAGTAACGAGTGCTTAACAAGTACTAAAACACTTCAATATACAAAATATTTTTGTTAAGCTCCACAAAATGGTTTTAAGAGAAATTGAAAAATTTTATGTTTTTAGAGTCAAAAAAGGGAAAACCCTATTTTACCCCATAAAACCCCCCATAAACTCCTAATAGTCCGATCATGCCGTTTCGCGAACTTGTTCGGATAAACGTAGGTTTACACGTTTGTACCAAATTTCATCAAAATCAGATAATTTTTGCTCCAGTTATCGTGCTAACGGACACACACACATATATATATATATGATTTTGAACAGAGGGTGTTTTTGGCCTGTGGGGGACCTCAAAACAAAAAAGCAAATTAGTCCCGGGTCTAGGTCTTAAACCATGAGACCTACAGTAATAGCTTATTCCCTAACGACTGTGTTTCCACTGTGCTGCTTATAATAACACAGTCGAGCCCTGAATGCAGTACGTCAATTCCATTAGTCCGCATTGAGACATACTTGAATCCATATGAATACAATGAATTTTTTAGGTATTAGGTTTTCTGCTCAGCTTAAGTTCCGTGCAATGTGGGAATCCTATAGGAATTATGTTAATAAGTGGCAGTTGTAATTGTAACACCGTCACATAGTTAGGGCCGCACGCGTAGTTAGTGCTGTAGCTAACATGTCCGCTATACAACACATATTCTCAATAGTTTAATCGTCTTAATGTTCACCTGCCACCATGTTCACATGACCATGTAATGTGTGTTTCTGATCATGTTTCGTAAGGGGTAATATGGGGTAAATATGGGTTTTTGTCACTTTTATTATATTTTATTTATTTTATTATATCGTGTAAAATCATCAAAATTCCATAGGGTTTTGTGGATGATATACAAATAAATTAGTATTTCATGTCATTTATTGTCTAATGAAGATTTGTGAAAAAAATTTTAAAAAGGGTTCACATGTTATTTTAATGCAACACAACACTTATTGCTCCACTTAGAATGAAACTGGGTATACAAGAGTAAATACTTATCCAATATGATGAGTTTCAAAAAGCATCATGGGCAAAGCATCATCGTATGGGGTAAATATGAGTTTTTGTAATTATATACACTAGTGTACATGTTGCTCGAAAATTCGAGCAATTGCAAAGTATTTCAGGAGTTTATTCAAAACGAATAACAGTCATATTTACAATGAGTTTAAAAGAGTCAACTCAAAGATTACCGGTGTGTAACTCAGACCATGTTTATCTTCCTTATTGATAAACCTAAAGCATGTTTGCCGGTTTTCTCCTTCTCAAAATGCCTCACTGTATAGGCAACACAGGTCATTGATAGAGGGCCAATTGAGAACGAAAAGTAGTTTTGGGGTAGTGTTAGGGAGCATTTGTAACCTATTGGTTGAGATTGTTCAGGGTCAGGTGCTGACTGTGATGAGTAAAGCCTATTACACGCCACTGTTCTGTAGCTGCGGTCGTTATCACGATTACGCCTCCTGTCTATGTTTTTCGTTGTCGGCGCGTCAGAGGCATTTAAAGGAAAAAAGCAACAATTAAACAAATTACAGCTACACAAAACAACGATAAACGCACTAATTTAAGTTACAATCACGCTAACACGGTCCGTCATAGCGACACAAAACAACGATAAATACACAAATTTAAGATACAACCATACTAACACGATCCATCTTAGGGGTTATGTTTACACAAACTCAAAAAGTAAATAAATTTACTCAATGTGTTTCATTACATTGAAAAATAAATAACAGCAATTAAATTATAAATACAGCTGATCAAAATGTAAACAATTATGTTCTCCATAAGGATAACATGGGAACTTTCAAAGCCACTGGGGCAGAGCCCGAGGGACTTTTTCAAAAATGTAAGGCCAGTTTGCAAATCTACGCGATACGCTCTTTCCAATGAGACGTTAATGGATAAAATCGGTCAAGAAATGGCGGAGAAGTTCAACCGACAAAGTTTCATGTAGCGTATTAATTATATAGATACTCTGAAAACCTAAAAATTCCTTGGGTTTAGTGGATAATAAAGCAAAGGTAAATAAAGCAGTAAATTGTGTCTTTTATTCCCCGGTGAAGGGTTATTGTGGTAGTCTATAGGTAAAAATAGTATGGTGAAATTTATAGTGACTACTGTTGATAAAACCCCACTTTTAGCGAATTTCCCTATAGGGAAGTATTAGCGAATTTCCCTATAGGGAAGTAGCTATTACCGTAGGTCTCATGGTAAGACTTAGGCCCGGGACCGATTTACTTTTTCATTTTGATGTCCCCAGAGGCCAAAAACACCATTCGTTCAAATTTTTATATATGTATATATATATATATATATATATCTATATAAATAAAATTAGAGTTTTGTCTGTACATTGCTCATAATTATATATTTTTAGGTTATTTTTACGTCTTATACATTAAATAAGCAGAAACGAGTCTTATCTCAATTTCTGTCTGTCTGTCTGTCTTTCCCTCTGTCTGTAACACTCAAGATGGCATTTTACGCTATCTTCTCCTGGAAAACGAGAGTACCTATCAAGATCCAAGTCATTTTAATGTATTCACTGGATTGGCGAGATTGTCTTTAGCAATTAAAATATGGCCTCACTACTTTGTAAATAATATTACGAACGTTCAAAAATGTAGTTTTGTGCGATTTATGTCAAGTTTTCATCCAATTTTTATTGCATAATCATCTATGAAATAACGAACAGCTGTTCGGATCAAGATTATTTTTCCTAGCTCTCACTGATATATTTACAAATGTTGTTTACTAATACCGCAACCATTTCCGATCACCTTTTGAAGGTAAATCCCATCCAAGTGACATTAAAAACGTTGTCTTACATAAAGGATTTAATTAATCGCAAGTGGAATAATATAGTGTAACCGTAAATGAAATAATTAATAACTAGGCATCATCCAGGTCAGGAACCAGAGATTCTTTGTGTGTAAAATTGTTCTTGAGTTTTGATAACCAGAAAGAAGACCTTGAATCAGTGTTGTATAGGGCTGGGAAACTTGAATTTATTAATGATCGTCGCCAATAGCTTACTAACAAGGATCCACTCATTGACGGCGCTTCAATGGCGGTTGTGTAAAGTGTAAAGTAAAAAATCACAACTGCAGTGGGTGATTGTAACAGAGGTTTACGGTTTATGGATTATGCTAAACTTGCTTTTCCGATGTGTCACTTTCTGTTCCTACTCACCGTATGATGCAATCGCCGGACCATACAGCCAATAGGCCCATAGCCCATCTCTTGGGTACTTACACCTACCCAATTATTCATTACAACCTTTTCGACGACGATCCTTGATACCGGTAATTTTCCCTAGAATACACGGCCTCCCTACTTAAGAAATAAAATTACAAACGTCCAAAAACCCAGTGTTGTGTCATTTTTGTCACATTTCATTCTAATGTTAAAAGATATACTAATCATTGTTTATAGAATAGGCCTACGTAATCTATTAAATAACAAACAGTTGTTTGTATGAGGTTGTTTTTTTTTCAAACTGACACCAATAATTTTACATTAAAAGTTGTTTACGAATAAGCAATTAATGGGAAATAACTTTGATTGCCAATAATCTTTTACGAGAAAATCAAAAACCAAGAAATCAATAACTTGACAACAAATTTAATTTGTCGGACGTAATTCTTAACTGTAAACGTTGGTTTTTGGTACTGGTTCTTTTCCTTAGAACCGTTGGTAGCAGCAAGAATCATTTTTACGTACCAACACATCACTGTAATTTACAAATTAGTTATCGATGGTGTTCATCTTATTTATACAGTCGTATTATAGCCGTACTCAATTTAATTGATGTCTTAACTGTACCTACAAGTTTTGCTTTTTCTGTCTGGATTCAAAATGTTAGTTTATGCTAAGAAAATGATAACTCATTTAAGTAAAACATTTGTTTAGCGAACCATCATGAATTGTTTATGATTTACGTTGTTTATTTATCAATAGTTTGTGGCCTATTTTGGTAATTTTTATTATAAATTACCAATCTAAATTGTCTATAGTACTTCATTTCATATAGTAAGACGCCATTTCGACAGCATTTCGGGTCATCTTAGGTCCAAGTAAATATAGATTGGTACGGTATGATAAAATTTAATGACATTAATACAAATTTCAAATACTAATTTTATATGTACCTTGGTATGCTTAAAACGTAGCAAATTCCCTATTTAAGTTCTGTATTTTTGTGTGTATGTCTGTTGGTAACGCATTTATGTCCTTATATCTCAGTGTCACGAAAAGGACAAGAGCACCTTGATAATTAAAATGTCAACCCGAATAAAGTGTTCAATGGTGAGGTTGAGGTAGTACTTTAAATACTTTGAACCATTGTGGGAAGTAACTTTTAACTATAGGCCTACCTTAGGGCTATGCCTCATAGATCTAGGCCTATAAAGCTTTTTTAGTTTAATCATTGGATTTAACATATGGACTAAACACGATCCGGGTGACATTTAATTGCGAAGCATGTGTTTTGGCTTGAAACTGTCAGATACTGTATTTGCGAAGGTTTATACAGGGTGAATCTTCTAAGCTGTCCTAAACAGATTACAGACGAATGGCTTGACATACAGAGATGAAACAAAACTTTTCCCCACTAATTCATACCCAAGGAACAACGTAAAAATATTTTTACCATTTTTAAAATACAGGGTGTATAATAGTTTTGCCAGCATGTCTAAAAATATGCAAACCAACTGCTGTTCTTAATATAAGAAGATTTCAACTTACTACTTTAAGATCCCCGTGCGTAGAACGGGCACACAGCTAGTATATATATATATATATATATATATATATATATATATAGATTTATATATATATATGTGTCCGTGAACACGATAACTTGAGTAATTTTTATCCGATTTTGATGAAATTTGGTTTGAAGGTGTAAGGCGGGATAAACTTGAATGAGTTCGCGATCCAGCATGATCGGACCATGGGAACAGGATTTTATGGGGGGTTTTATGGGGTAAAAATTGGTTTTTCTCACTTTTGACCCTCAAAACAAAAAATTTTCCAATTTTTCTCTAAACCTTCTTAAAGAGCTTAAAAAAACAAACAATTCAGTATATCAAAGTGTTTTTGTACGGTTATTGGTTACGAAGAAAACAAAAAAATATTTAAATTTAAAATTCCCATGTTATTCTTATGGAGAATATTGTAAAATGTTGTAGTTTGCTTGTTTATGGATATCTTTTGATCAAACTTGGCAAATATATTCATTTTATACTAAGCAATAATTATTTTACTTAAAACACACTATTTATTAGTTTCCTTGTAGCAACAAACCTAGGTACTCGTTAAACCTAATGTTATTTAAATAGACCAATTGAAAATCAATTCAGCCAAATGGAAATTCGCTTAGACGGCAGGTTTGCTGCGGCGGGGGTATTGATATGATTGTATGTAAGAGATTGAACACAATGTGGAATTGTGTCTTACATACAATTACAAATTATATTACAATAATACAATACTCTCTTACGTAAAATTATATTGGATATGTCATATACACAAAGCATCCTGGCTGGGTCATGAGAACATGCTTTCACAGCGGGTTGTATGAGTTTTAATCTAAAAATCCCATGGGATTAGTGGATTTGTTAAAAGCTTTAAAAATAAACAAAATATTATATCGTGTCTTTTAACCCTTGATGCTATAGGTAAAATTATCATCCCGGGATGAAATCTAAAGCGACTAAACTGTTGATGAAACTTCACTTTTGATATGACTGGATGTAAGAGAGTGAAGACTTATCTAGCATGAAAAGTGAAAGCATCCTCTGGTCAGATGATGAGAACAGGCTTTCATAGAGGATTATGTCGTAAATATGAGTTTTGTTGTATTTTTTACTCTGAAAACTTTCAAATTCCACATACTTACTTAAGTTTTTCAAAAAAGCTAAAAAACAAATACTATTTGTCAGATCTATTATTGTTGTGTTTTTACAATTTATCATACTCGTTCTATCAGTCTATTATTGTTTAATAAGGGATTACCTTACAGAGAAAATTTCCAATACAGATTTCGAATGTGAACTGGCTTTCATGTGGTTTTATGGGGTGAATATGGCTTTATTACTTACTAAGTCTTACTAAGTTATTGTCACAATCATGATTTACACTCTTGTCATAATTAATTAGTTAGGTCAGGTCTAATGTTGGCACTGATAAAAAAATTCAAGAAAAGTGCTTAATTTAGTTAACAATTGTATAAACCAATTTATGTACCTTTTGGTGGGAACTGGTCATAACCTCTGCCCAAATCGGATTTCTGGACAGGTGCCTTGTACATGGCTACAATATTTAGTCCTTGGGCGCCTCTCACAATTTTCAGTGGACCTTTGATTTCTGAAAGAAATAAGGAATATTTAAGTTTGCAAGTAAACTATATGGAAAAAAGTACCACCTACATTGTATTTACACTATAATTGTACTAGCTAAATCTTCATTAGGTTAAACATTTTAGTTTGGTTGGCAGCACTGGGCCACATGAGGTGGTTGTTTTGTACGTCGCTCCAGCTTTATTACTGAATATAATCAGTTGCAGACTAAGGGTGTAAGAGTTTTTAAAGAGCTTATCGTTGAAGCTAAAATGGCCAAACACGTTGTGAGTACCTACATAAATGTGGACCTGTGATGTGACTAACTCTACAACATAGAACGTATATGGACACAACCTAACTTATCAAATTATACCAAGGCAGATACTTTGCAGCATAATTTGAGCATGCTGGGCTGCTCGAATAATTTTCCAACCTAACAAACGTTGATTTCCCCGCTGAGACGTAACCCTGTTTATTGCAACTCTGCTCATTGCCCAAGATCAGTACGCGCTGACGGCTACAGGGCCGGACTTAGCACTTCAGGGGCCCCGGGCAAATTTTCCAATGGGGCCCTAGGATTTCAGTTCGGGGGGGGGGTCCTCCAGGGGGATTGGGGGGTCCTCCCCCGGGAAAAATTTCTAAATTTAGGCTTCAAATAGATCAATTTAAGGCCAAATAAGCAATAAGTTCTATATAAAAAATTGTTCTTAAAATATAACTATTTTAACATATTTTTATATACAGCATATTTTAATTTTATACACAAAAAATAAAAATGTGTTGCTTTGTAGTACTAGTGACGGCATATTTGGTATGGTAGCATGGTAGGCTACCATAATATATTTGGATTAGAAGTATTGATATATTTTTGTTTATTACGTATTTCAATTATCGATTATTGCCGTCGATTTGTATGGTTTTTCAATATTACTACAATATAGGTGTGATTATTTTATTTTCATAATGGTTTTGGTATCTATGGCATTCTCGTTTTTATAATATGTTAAAGTCCTAGCATGAAAAGTACCATTAAGGACTTTCAAGTTTGAGTTTTTTATTGACGAGCAAAATCTTGCAATTTCTAATAAACACTCACAAGCTAACTATTTATATGAGTAACTGAAAGATGTTTAAATGGATCCAATATCGATTAATACAACACAAACATAGCATTGAATACCACATTACTCACTTCAGCTTTTTTTTGTACTGTTAGTTTGCAGAATTACAATAAAATAACACAAAAGTAAGACAATTTCAACCAACTTAACGTGACCAATAGTCTCAAAGGACAAACTATGGGAGTAAAGTGAATAAAGTGATTTAAATTGTTTTTGGTTAGGCGATAAGTCATTTTATGTGTGTGTATGCGCGTGCGTGAGACAGACAGGACTAGTCAGGATCCCTTATCATTTATTGTTGCAGCTGCTTCTGCTTATCCGCTTATTTACGATTTCAGTCGTCAACGCTCGCCCAATCCCAATAAATGTAATTTTTTGTTAACATCAGACGACTCTAGTTGTTTTAAAGTGTCTATATAGATTTAAAAAATTTTACTGGTGCTATATGATTTTGACTCCAAAGACTAAATTGGAGATCAAAATATTGACGCATAAATTAATTAATTACTATTTTACAAAACCTTTAAATTAAACGGATAATATACTTCTACCCCTTAAAATCCTGATTGGTATATACTTAGAGGTAAAAGAAAAGAATAACATTTAATAAAACATAAACGGAGCAATGTTTTTATTTTAAAAAGTATTTGAACTCCAGTGAATTTCCATTTAACACAACACAATTTTACAAGTTACGTTCTACGTTGGGACAAGAGTTTTCATATTTATTGTATTTTTGTCCCGAGCGCGGGGCCCCTTCAACTCATTCGCCGCGGCCGTACGTTCGGGCGAGCGGCTTCATTGAAACTGAAACTTGTCCGTCACAGCCTAGCACATATGCTCGTGTAAACCAGGCCTAAGCGTGGGGCCAAGTGCAACTCTGAGAAAAAGTCCCTTAGGGTCAAGAATTTCATTCCTAGTAATGCCTTAAAATGCACTTAACAATAACCTTAAACATAGGATAACGAAAATAAAAATAAAGCTGTTACAAAAGAAGGCCATTTGGTAAGTGTCTGATCAATTTTCGAAGTTATTAATAAAAACTACCGTACAAAGGGGGCCCCTGGAGGGGCCCCCCTTGGCCCGGGGGCCCCGGGCGTTCGCCCCCTTCGCCCATAGGTAAGTCCGGCCCTGGACGGCTACCCGGCTTGTTGTCTAAGCCACTTGTGCTGTATAATCAAGTGTAGACACAACTTGCACTGCTTTCAAACGTACTGTTTTCCATCCAAAAAACTGAAGGGGCTGTCAATAATCAGATTCTATCTAGCTGCTGCGCCCACAGCCAACACCATCAACTTCTTTGGAGATTTGAATGCATATTCTGAAATGGGCTTTTATGTTTTTGATGTAATATTGAGTGAATTAAGTTTGTTAGTTAAACTGCAACTTATTATTGTAATTTTAAGATGAATTTTCAGCTATCAGAAAAAGTAAATATTGACAGTCACGCTGAAGAAATTTTGCTTGAACTCTCAGCTTAAGTTAATTATTTTTAGTAAACCATCCTGGTGTTGATCTTACTTGTTTTATCAACAAAATATCAGATTTTCTTGTAACTCTGGGTGAAGTCTATGATAAAAATATAAGTCTTGTCCAAAAAATTAATAAGTTTTAGGCCTACTGCAAAAATCTAGAGCTCAATGAGTATTTTCATTTCTAAGATACTGTGGTGGAACAAAATGAAACTTCTAGTTGGAAATAGTTAATGGTAAAGTTATAGACCTTAAATCCTGACTTGACAAAATTCACCGTACAAAAAAATATTAGCAGACTAATCAAAATTACACTTAAACCATTGTAGCTATCATTAAATAATAGGGCAAAATAATTGCCTAAAATAAAAATAAAAACTATTAAAATCTCTTCTGATAAATTTTACCTCTTACAGTATCCAGGAATTCCTTACTCACATCAGCTCTAAGAAAGCTAGCTATTGTAAAAATATTAATTTATAAGACTCTAATTTATAAGACTGCTATTATTTATAAATTTCAAAAGCATTATATGTAAGCCAATTTGTAAATCTCTGTTGTAAGTCTCATGTAAGGTATGTTTTATAATAAATGTAACTTCTAAGCTATGATAAGATGATGTATGTACCAAGCTAATGCAACTTGTTTTTTTATTATTTTTTTATTTATTTACAGACGGAAAACTCCATTTTCATACATACAATGATGGCAAGACGTTACATTCAGACTTACATAATACATGTCATATATAACATGAAGATGACCTGACTAAATAACCCTAATAAATAGGAATGTATCAAAAATATATCAATATATAAAAATAAATAACAACAATAATTAACAATCAACATGGGGAACAACAAATTTGGTAATTAGCAACAAGATAAAGAACCAAAAAACAAGTAACAGTAAAATAAATCACTTAAAGAACAACTACAATGATAAAGAAACAAAAAAAGCAAGTACGGTAACAGTATAATAAACTCAACAGCAGCTAAGCGTAGAAACTCTTCAGCCCATTTCTAAAAACTTCATCGGACATGGAGAAGAAGTACAGGTGTTCTGGAAGACAGTTTCCAAGGTGATGGAGACGTGGCATAGTGCTGTGGTACGCATATTGTGTAGAGCAATATTTCCTCTCAAACAGTTGTTTGGATCTTGTCGATTTCAACGCTCGTAGGTCGATTCTTCCCAACAATTCAGGTGAGTCCACTGAAGCTGAGATTATCTTCTTCAAAAACATTAGATCGGAGACTTTACGCCTGATTGACAAGTGTTGCAGACGAAGGAGGTGGCTTAGCTCGTCCAAGGGTACATCTTCATAACGAAAGCCCAGCTGCAGTCCAACAATTCGAATGAATTGTCTTTGAATTCCCTCAAGAAGTTCTATGTGGCCCAGCTGATACAGTGACCACACTGGAGAACAGTACTCAAGGATAGGGCGGATAAGTTGAATGTAAATAGTCCTTAGTGCTTCTGGTGAGAAACCGTCCTTAGACACTCTAATAATAAAACCAAGAACAGAGTTTGCTCTTCTACTAATGGTATCAAGGTGAGTATCGGGACTTAGTGACGATGTTAAAGTCACACCAAGGTCTTTAACAACAGATGATCTGGAAAGGGATTTTCCTCCAAGAGTATAACCATGCATCATGGTATTTGCCCGTTGTGAGAAGGAGAGCACTGTGCATTTGGAGATGTTGAGCTCCATTTCATTCTTGAGGCACCACAATAATATTTGGTCAAGGTTGGCTTGAAGCATATCACAATCATGCTCCGACAAAATTTCCTTGTATATTTTTGTGTATATTTTTTGTTTTGTTAATTCTGGCTAAGTACCTAACTTAACCCTCCGAGTGTCACGTGTTTTGGCCTTAATGTCAGCCTATTTTTTGCTCATTTGCAAGGTTTTATTAAAACTGATCTGAGAAGCTTAAAAACAATGTTAATTATACTGTTCTATATACCATTTTGTTTGGAAAATCTTGGGCTTCAATATTATATATAAAACATAAGGAAGATTAAAAAAAAAAAAAAATTTTTAGGTAAAAAAATGTATAATTTCGAAAATTTTCAAAAAAAAATAAGTTTGCGCTCAATGAAATTGTATAAATTATAGGCCTATAAATATTTGAAAATAGCCACTTTGTTCTAAATTTTATGAGGATTACAAATCTATAATAATATAAGGAAGTAGATTTGCAAATAAAAAAGTTATGGGCAAAAAACAGATTTCAGTACATAGCGTTTAGCTAAGAATGCATAGCCCAACCATAGCTAGGAATCTGGCTGATAATTTACATCAATATCACTACCTACTTCTTCAGGATCATCAACCAGCACTTCAAAACCACTTAAATCTTCTTATAATGCACCACGTATATCACTACTTTTGATTTTTAACACTAAAACAATGATAAACGTAATAAAACACATCAGTCATCGGTCCGAGGGTAACCTAGCTGTTTACAAATACACGCACGTCAGCTCAGTCAGCTGTCTGCTACAATATTTTCGGAACTAAAATGAATAGTGCTTAGAGACAGACCTCTGCAGAAAGCTTAGAATATTACGGACAGAACGATACCTAACTCAATCCAGTACAGTCCGATTCAGTTAGTCATAGAGCCTTCGCCGTAAACAGTGTTCGCGAGTCGCTGCAGCGACGCACGACACTATACAAAGTGCGTTACGCGTCGCTGCAGCGACGCATGACACTCGGAGGGTTAAATGATTGATTTAACTGTAGAAAAAATCTATAATAAAGACTAACTCACCCAATCCTTCAATGGAGCGTTCCCATGACATGATGGGTTGATGTTTGGCTCTCGCTGGACATTTAGACCAATCGCATGGGATGACCCACAGGAATACTGTGATGACTATAATACACAGTAAGACGGAAAAGACAAACGCAACTCTTCGCAATGGTGACATAGGTTTCTTGTAGTAGACAGGTGGTTTGTTTCGGGATGTTGCACTAGCGTTGACGTGACCATCGTCAGATCTCAACGGCTGATAGTCTCCCATTTTAAGAAAAGGTGAATCTGAAAAAGATTTACAAATCTACCAACTGTTTTTATGATATATGTTCAACTCTTTATGACAAAATTTAAAGTTCATGTATTAGACTTAGTCAAGTTTGAACAAGTAAGGGATTATAGGCCCAAACTTATAGTGCTTAAGGGTAAGTAATGAACCTGGGTACACCTCCATACCTATTGGCACAAACAACCGAATGAGTTATGTCGATTATTCAATATATCGTTTGGTTAGTTAGGTAGGGTTAACCTAACATAACGATATATCAAATTAAACAATAGAATAATCAATATTACTCATTCGGTTGTTTGTGCCAACAGATATGGAAGTGTACCCATGAACCTTTACCATCTGATACAGTAGTTAAGTCATGTTTTATTTTACAAGTTAAATGAGGGGAAAAGGACAAACTTCTGAGTTGGTTGTTATTGTTTGCATGGTGAGTAGACAGTACTGTAGGGGCTTTTAGTTATATCTACCAGGTAGCAGCATACAGGGGTCTATTATGGAGTTGGTCTACAAATCATTTTTTGTAGAAGTTATGAAGTCCCAAATGATAAAATATTACTTGGTAAAACAACTAAAATAGGGTGGAAGATGCACTACTTACAAGCTTTACAAATCTGCGAATGTTTACAAAATAATACAGTAGCTTTGAATTATTATTTCGTTCTACTAGGCCTACGCCATGATAACTTTATTTATCTGCCCAATTTGTTGCATTACATTTTTATCTGAAGTAGAAATATTGGCATTAGTTAAGTCATTCAACATATAATTGGATAAGTATCACAAATTTAAAGATAAACATATAAATGTTGTGAATTCCAAATCTTACTGACAGACGACATTCAGACTTCAGTTCAGTCAGAGCAGAGCAGAGATTGTGTTGTCTGTTCTGTTGTGTTATGACTGTGACATTCGAAACAGCTGTTAAAGGGCGAAAATCAATAGTCATAGAGTAACAATTACAAATCAGTTATGCGATTGACTATAGAACTATGAAAACTATTAAGCCCCGTTCACACGGGGCGAGTTTACAAGCTACACGCCGGCTTTTTTACACGCAGCTAGTAAAATAGCTCAGTGTGAACACAGTTGCTTGTGCTTGTGCGCTTGTTACTCAAAGATGTTGGAGGATTTGGTTCAAGCCAGCTTCTGAGCGAGTGGAAAAAGCATCGTGTGAACGACTACAAGCGCACTCGCCGACTCGCCGGCGTCTTTCTACACGTCTGCGAGTTGGCGAGTGGACAAGCTCCGTGTGAACGAATACAAGCACACTCGCCAACTCGCCGGCTTCTTACACGCTGGCGTGTAGCTCGTAAACTCGCCCCGTGTGAACGGGCCTTTAGAAGCTATCATGGTGGAAGGAAAAACACCTGTTTTTTTCCTTCCACCATGGTCTAAGTGAATATGTTAGTGAATACCAAGCAAGCAACTTAACACTATGACTACAGTAGAATAATCTACTAAGTCGGGGATCATGCTTTGAGTTTTCTCTATACATTCATAAACAAAAGATTTGACTTATACCACTCATTGGCTTATACCACTTAAGATCAACCATATAGATTTGGCCATAAATCTTAGTAATTTACGGGACTGCCTCAATCATACTCATACTGAATATTCTACACGCTGTATGTTAACATTAATAGCTCAAAGTTGATGTGATGGGCTTAGGAAAAAGATAGTGCACTCTTTCCTGACGCGAGTTCCTATCAACCATAGATTTGGCCTTATAGCTTCGTAATTTACGGGACTGCCTCGATCATACTGATTATTCTGCACATTGTATATTACCATTAGAATAGTTCAAAGTTGATGTGATGGGCTTAGGAAAAAGATCATGTTAGGAGTTTTAATTGAACGCGTTTTGTTAAGCCATAGCTACGTATGATGTACAATACTGCCTTAAATATGCCTATTTAATACATTAATTAAATATTTTTAACGTGTATATACGTTTTATCAAGGTATTATTGATATTATATACATGTAAAAACATTATTTCGTGCCGTATTGTCTTTGAATTGGTTTTCCGACATCCCCGCAAAGCTGAATTTTTATTTCAGGATTAATTTTGCCAACAGTGTCATTTGGAGGCTTCTGATTGGCTAAGGGAACACCTTACCGGAACGATACAAAATATCGCCATCGGCCTCGGTGGCATAGTGGATAGAGTGGGCTGATAAACGGAAAGGTCGGGTTCGAATCCCTCCAATAAGTCTAACTTTTTGTCTAGGATTTTTTCATTAACAGCAAGTTTGGTTGGTTTGGTTAGGTTATGACATTTTTATTTTATAATTAAAACATTATAAAATTGAATTTGATCCATTTTTAGTTTTATTTTAATAACAGAACTATTTTTTCGATTAAGCCTTTCGATTTTTCATTATCAGCAAGTCTGGTTAGTTTGGTTAGGTTATGGCAGTTTAATTTTAAAATAAAAATAATATACAATTTAATTTGAGGCATTTATAATTTTGTTTATTGAACAGAACTAATTTTTCGATTAGTAAACCTTCATTATAGTCAATCAGAAGCCTCCAAATGACACTGTTGGCAAAATGAATCCTGAAAAACAAATCGTGCCCGCAAAAAGCGTTTGTGGCGTCCGCAGGCGTACCAACCCGTATCTATTACAATTTGAAAAAGCGCCAATGAGGATGAAAAGAGCCGCTGAACTTCACGACCCGGACCCGACCCGATGGTCCGCACTGCTGAATTTTTATTTCAGGTTTAGTGTTGCCTACAGTATTATTTTGAGGCTTCTAATTGGCTGAGGGAACATAATTACCGCAACGATACAAATTGATTCCAACGACCTCGGTAGTGTAGTGGATAGCGTGCTCAATTATCAATCAATTATCAATTATCAATTATTTAAGATGGGGACGCCACTATGTGCGTATTTTAACCCAAATATGAGTGAAGGATGAGTGTAGGATGAGTGGCGCGATCTTGTAGTCTTGTTAGTGACTAAGGCCGACATGTTCCTTAGACACAGCTGTTAATTAATAGCCCATACAGCTAATGGCAACTAAGGGACCTACAGTTTATAGTGGAATCCTGGGCTGATAATCCGAAGGACCCGGGTTCGAATCCTACCTTAAAAACTTAAATTTTTGTATTTGATTTTTTCATTATCAACACGTTTGGTTGGTTTGGTTAGGTTATGATGGTTTAATTTTATAATTAAAACATTATAAAATTGAATTTGACCCATTTATAGTTTTATTTTATGAACAGAAACATTTTCCCGAATAAAACCTTCATTCGATTTTTCTTTATCAGCAAGTCTGGTTAGTTTGGTTAGGTTATGATAGTTTAATTTTATAATTAAAAAATTATAAAATAGGATTTGAGGCATTTATAATTTTATTTTATGAACACAACTATTTTTTCGATTTATAAACCTTCATTAGATTTTTTCATTGTCAGCACGTTTGGTTCGTTTGGTTAGGTTATGAGCATTTAATTTCATAATAAAAAATATCAAATTGAATTTGAGGCATTTATAATAATTTTATTCTATGAACAAAACTAATTTTTCAAAAAATTAGTAAACCTTATAGGGAGTATGTTTTATCTATGCTTATAGTCAATCAGAAGCCTCTAAATGACACTGTTGGCAAAATTAATCCTGAAAAACAAATTGTGCGTCCGCACTGCACTGCAATCGCTCGCACTGACTCTGTATTCTGTAATGTCAAGTTGTTGTTTTATGTTTTCTGTTTTGTTTAGTTTGTTAGGTTGTTAGGTTAGGTAGGAAGTACCGAAGTACCTAATCTTTTATCTTTTAGGTTGTTTTAACATTGATTTAATCATAGGGTCGTGGTGTGCACGTTTATGATACCGTGGATATAAGAAAATCTTTAAAATGTCCGGGGTAAATCTGATTAATGCTATCTGCGATCGTATAAAATTGGACAAAGAAAAACTTGAACGTAAGTAACCTAGGCCTAGGGCCTACATAACTTTAAAACCTTGATTTGAAAATTGACTTGGACCTTCTTTCTAAAGTCTAAATGAATCCCTAGAAAACCATTTACACAAAAAATAACCTTAATATGATTATGGTCCATTCATAACCTAAAAATCGTAAGCCTTATGGTTGACTGTATTATAAATTCAAATTGTCTGTTTAATGTCCTCTTTTGTAGCTGCAGTTCCGTATAGAGACCCTGACGACTGAGGGTTTATTATCCGATGAATAACGATATACTTATATCGAAATTTGTTTGGTTAGATATATCGATTAACTAACTTGTAGATTATAATTTTTCTATTATAAACATCGATTTCAAAATTGTTTTGTTTATGTTTTTATTTGTATATTATATTTTAAATATACAACTATAAAAACAAAAACACAATTTATTACCTTATACCTCCTCCTTCGTCTTTTACCCACAAAGTGGAATTGACAGCGTCATTTAACACGGTTACGGTACTAATCAAAAAACATTATTTACAACTAAGTTAGCCTATTCATAGTCAAAGTCAAAATAAACTTTATTTGTATAAATACATAGTAGCATCAGAATTGAGTCACATATAACTAAAAATCACATAACTTACTTTCATGCTATATAGCTAAAATACAATATATTTAAAACTATATATTATTTAAAACCCAGGCAACCAGTAGTGGACCTATTTATAAACCTATTTATAAAGTTTTATATGAAAACTAATAAAAAAATAACCAAAACGTAAATCAACAATAAAAAAATTTAAGAAGTATTAACTTAGCCTAAGTAACTAACATTATTCCGATGCTTGTTTGATTTTGAGATTTGATTTTGTATTTCAGTCGCGAACACGGCTCCTCATATTGGTTAGTTGGCAGATTTTGTGACGTATCGTTTCACCTGGGGGGGATGGTTTTTCGGGGGTAGTATTCCGCATCCCCGTTTTTTGGTCTGCTATGGTTGGTTCAAGTGGAGGGCATAGATTTCTTTTCTTCCCCCCAAAAAACGCCTAAAATTTGCAAGCAAAATTCAACAATATTCAAATCTCTTCCTACATAGTTGGAATGAGTTCACTCATTAGCCTATGCATACCTAGTAAACATAAACAACTAAACTACAGTACTAATAAACAAATTATACACAGCGATTACATAAGGATAAGACCAACAAGATTGCTGATTATACATGGATACTTTGATACTTAACTTTTGCCATACAACTACATCACTTGCGACTAGCATTTTTATTCCAGTACGGTAACAAAAGTAATGTAATTACGCTACTGGAATTTGATCTGTAATACGATACTTGAATAGTAACTTGCTCGCTATATGAAATGCAAGCTAGAATTAATATAAACGTTCCTTTATACTATGAGTTTGGGCCAGACCTTCACCACATCAGCACCAAGACATCTGGCATTCTCGAAATGATCTGCTCTGCAAAACACTGTTTGAGCATCCATGCGGATCCATGCCTGCTAGATCCAGTAATTTATTAGAGTACTTCTGTACTGTTTATTCTGTCCCTCATTCCCCTTATTTACCATCTTCGCTTTGCCCCAATACGGGAAGAATGAGCGTACACCTAGTACTATTCATTCAAGATTTTTTATTTGGTCATTGAACATGAAATACAGTAATATCATAGACCATGTCAGATCATTAAGTAGTAAGGATACATATAAAAATATCACAATAAAACAGCTACCTACATGGTGAATAGACATTTTTAAATTGACTAGATTTAAGTAGGCTATAAATACTAGCTATACTTAAGCTTTAAATACTAGAAATAAGGGAAATAAGAACATATAGATTACTAGAAATAAACGATAAACATGTGAAACACTTTTAACCACAGTATTTTAACAGAAAACTGATT